AATAAATAAACGTTGAAAAAAAAATTTAAAAAAAAATAAAATTAAATTAAGTTATTTGATATTTTCCTATTGAGTTGTAGGATATCCCTATATGTTTTGGAAATTAACCTCTTATATATAATTTATATATATATATATATATATATATTATAATATGCAAATATTTTTTGATGCTTTTGGTTGCCTTTTCATTGTTTCCTTTGCAGTGTAAAAGCACTTTATTATGACACAATTTTGCTTTGTTGCCTGTGCTTCATATCCAAACAATCATTGCTAAGATCAATGCCAAGAAGCTTTTTCCCTATGTTTTCTTCTAGAAGTTTTAAGGTTTGGGGTCATACAATTAAGTCTTTTATACATTTTGAGTTAGTTTTCATGTATGGTGTAAGGTAGGAGTTCAATTTCTTCGGTTTGCATGTGGATATCCAGTTTTCCCAGCACCATTTATTGAAGAAACCATCTTTTCCCAGTTGTATATTCTTGGTACCCTTGTCAAAGATATGTTGACTGTATATGTATAGGTTTTCTTCTAGTCTTTCTATCCTATTCCACTGGTCTATATGTCTGTCTTTATACCAGTACCATACTGTTTTAAATAATGTAGCTTTTAATATATTTTGAATCAGGAAGTATTATGCCTCCAGCTTTGTTCTTTCTCTCAAATATTTTTAGCTATTATGGTTCTTTTGTGGTTCCACATGAATTTTAGGATTGTGTTTTCTATTTCTGTAAAAAAATAACATTGGAGTTTGGTTAAGATCACATTGAATCTGTAGATGGCATTGGGCAAAATAGATATTTTAACAATATTAAGTATATTATGTGTTCTTTAATTTCTTTCAGCAAGTGTTTATACTTTTTGGTGTAGAAATCTTTCACCTTCTTGGTTAAGTTTATTCCTATTATATCCATTTTGATGTGATTATAATTGGGACTACTGTATTTGCTTAATTTTTTTTCAGATAGTTCATTGTTAGTATTTAGAAACACAACTGATTTTTGTATGTTGATTTTGTATCCTGCAATTGTACTGAATTCATTTATTAGACATAAAAGTATTTCTGTGGTGTTTTTAAGGTTTTCTACTTATAAGATAATGTCATCTACAAACAGTAATAATTTTACTTTTTCCTTTCCCATTTGAATGCCTTTTATTTTCTTCTAGCCTAATTTTCTCTGGCTATGACTTCCACTACTATGTTGAATAGAAATGGTGAAAATGGGCATCTTTGTCTTAGAACTGATCTAAGAAAAAAAGCTTTCAGTTTTTCCCCCTTGAGTATGATGCTAGCTGTGGGGCCTTTCATATATAGCCTTTATTATGTTCAGGTAAATTCATTCTATACATAGTTTACTGTGAGTTTTTTATCATGAAATAATGATAAGTTACATCAAATCATTTTTCTGCATCTATAGTTTTGATCATGTGATTTCCATCTTTCATTAGAGTGATGTATCACATTAATTGATTTGCATATGTTAAACTATCATTGCATCCCAGGGATAAATCCTACTTGTTCATGATTTATGATCCTTTTATTGTGCTGCTGAATTCTGTTTTTTCCTGTTTTATTAAGAATTTTTTTCATGTACGTTCATCAGGGATATTGGCCTTTCATTTTGAACTGGAAGACTTAATATTGTTAAAATATCCATTCTGCCAAAGGCCATCTACAAATTCAAAGGAATCCTATCAAAACTACAGATTCATTTATATAAGATATGAATAAGTTCTAGAAATCTGCTGTACAACATTGAGCCTATGGTTAACATTACTATATTATGCACTTAAAATTTTGTTAAGAGCATAGAACTCATGGTGTTTTTACTGCTTAAAAAAAAACAGGGTTGAGGTATCTCCAGAAGGGAGAAATTCTGTCTCAGCTTTAGTCTATGTATGCAGAGTCCCATCCTTGTCATGATCTTCCTGCCTACAGATGACAGCTTTGAACTATGCCTTTGAGTTTGAGCCTGCCCATGATCTTGCATTCTGACTTCCTGCTCCATAGATTTTGGAGTTGCTTAGCCAAGTTTTGCAATCATATCAGTCAGTTCTTTATAATAAATTTCTTTTTTTTTTTTAATTTTTTTTCAACGTTTATTTATTTTTGGGACAGAGAGAGAGCATGAATGGGGGAGGGGCAGAGAGAGAGGGAGACACAGAATCGGAAACAGGCTCCAGGCTCTGAGCCATCAGCCCAGAGCCTGACGCGGGGCTCGAACTCACGGACCGCGAGATCGTGACCTGGCTGAAGTCGGAACCGACTGCTCCACCCAGGCGCCCCTATAATAAATTTCTTAAATAATAATGCTTCTCCTATGTGTTGTGTTTCTCTGTTTGAACACTGACAGAAGAAGTTATAGTTATAGTCTACATTCTTCACCTGAAGAGTTCCTTATGATAAATTAGGCTTTAAAAAACAAGTTACAGAATAATATGTTTGGTATAAATTTTGTAAGTAAATTTTTTGAAAAGTCTTATGTGTATATATGTTTATATGAACATAAGCATGGAACTAGGCATACCAAATTTATACTGATTATCTCACACAGCATAGGAGTGACAGAGAAGGGAAAATAATGCTAAAATTTATTACATTTTAGTATGTGTTAAATGGTTATTATGGCCATGTATTTGTTTTATAATTAGAAAGTAAAAATAAAATTATGATAAATTTATGTGGCAGCCATAAAAATAATGATTAAAAATATTAACTGACATAGGGAAATGCTAATGATATGATTTTAAGTGCAAAATAAAGATATAAAATTAGAGGGGCGCCTGGGTGGCGCAGTCGGTTAAGCGTCCGACTTCAGCCAGGTCACCATCTCGCGGTCCGTGGGTTCGAGCCCCGCGTCAGGCTCTGGGCTGATGGCTCGGAGCCTGGAGCCTGTTTCCGATTCTGTGTCTCCCTCTCTCTCTGCCCCTCCCCCATTCATGCTCTGTCTCTCTCTGTCCCAAAAATAAATTAAAAAGTTGAAAAAAGATATAAAATTAGAACTATTCATCATGGAGAGGTAGTTTGGGGGAGACAGAAAGAATCAGCAATCCTAGTCCTATTTTTTTTTATTTAGACATATTTAAAACACATAGGAAGGAAATATATGAAAATTTTTATAAAAATTCTCTCTCTCTGGGTAGAATGCTCTTGTGTTATTTTTATTTTTTCTTGTATTTTTCTGTTTTTCTCCAAAAATTGCCTAAATAAAAGTGTTATTATAATTAGAAAAAAGTAATGTTTTCAAAAAGATAACCATAGGTCTATCAGAAAGAAATTTCTGTAGCTCCATCCACTTTGCTGCAAATGGCAAGATTTCATTCTTTTATTTCATTCTTTTTTATGGCTGAGTAATATTCCATTGGTGGGTGTAGCTATAGAGTCTAATGCTAAGCAAAATAAGTCAGAGAAAGACAAATACCATGTGATTTCACTCATGTGGAATTTAATAAACAAAACAAATGATCATAGGGGAAAATAAGAGAGTGGCAAACCAAAAAACAGACTCTTTATAGAGAATAAACCAATTGTCACCAGAGGGGAGGTCATCGGGCAGATGGGTTAAATAGGTGATGTGGATTAAGGGGTGCACTTATGATGAGTATGAGGTATGGTATGAAAGTGCTGAATCACTAAATTTTATACCTGAAATTAATATTATGCTGTATGTTAACTAACTGGAATTTAAAGAAGAACCTAAAAAAATTAAAAAATAAACTAACTTCTGGAAGCTTTTCTATTAGAAGCAGATTCTTAAAGTTACAGGTTATTAGGGCATTGTGTGGGAGATATCATGGTGGAATCAGAGGGAATGGTGGGGATCTTCCAGTTCATCTAGGGTCTACATAAAGCATACTAAGACAATTCCTTTAATAGCTCTAACAACCTAAGTGGTATCAGAGGCTGCTGCTGCCTACCATTGAGAGAAGCAGTCAAGTAGCATTCCTGTACAACTCCACATCATGTCCCATTGCAGTGCTTTTATGTTAAAAGCAATTTGACTTCAGTGGGATTCAAAGTGAATTATTAATATGCACTCTACCCCAAACCTAAGGAAAAGACTAGGAGTAGACTAAGCAGTGTCTTTCTGATCATCCTTCCTTATCTTTCAACCATTTAAATCACCGACACTGAAGGACAGAAGAATCCATTTGCATCAGGATTCAATGGGTAGGCCCATTTTTCTAGAGGCATTTTATACCAGCTTGAACATACAAGTGTTTTAATATAAAATTCCACTCTCATTAAGGATGGGCAAAAACAGAAATTGTGTCTTCTCAGGGAATTACAAAGTCTGGCTGTTTGGTATTTTTATGCCAAAATGGCAGGACCATGAGCAAGAGATCAGATAGTACTTTGTAAACCACAAAGCTTTAGTCAAGGGGACCTAAATCCCACATTTGGAAAACACCATTAAAACTCTCTCTACTAATTATATACTCTTTCAAAAAGGGGAACAATCTGTTTAAAGCCAAAAATGTATGGTTTAGTGGGACTCTAAATCATGCAAGTGATCATGGTTTTAGACCCAGTTATATTTTCTACCATTTACTTAAAACACTTTCATACAGACAGTGTGATATATACATGCACATTAATTTTAATCTATGCTCTCAGGGCATTTACTTAACATCTGACGTGCCCTAATCTGGTATACACACTGAAGAGGTGATTTGTTAACATATTAAACACTCAGAATTATTTGCTCCAGAGGCCATTATTACCAGCAGTTCAGTCACCTTAATGCAGGAGGCCTAGTTAGCCTAATACATGCTAAAAATGAATTTTTAGTGGTAAAATTAATGTTATTCAAGATGTGTACTAGCCACAAATGTCTTACAGGCTCTTTAGCCTTCATAAGAACTGGGCATAAAAATCCAGTGAGCCCCATATCCTGTACCCTGCAGAAGGAAGCCTCAGGTCAAGATTGAAAACAGGTGCTATGCTTTGTCCCCCATCAGGGGACTTTGTCACCAGATTCTTACTAGAAAGTTAGTTGAATGCTGTTGTTATATCACCAACTCTTCCTTGACTAACCTTTACACAAAAGATGCTGCCATGTATCTAAGAACAGAACTGGGACTCCATTGAGATGATAGGACAGGTTGTATGACTGTTTTTGTGTTTGCTAATAAATGTTTGTATGTTTGGGAGAATTGAGGTTGAGGTTTGCTTTCAGTGTAATAGCTTTATCTTGTCAAGAGACTGTAAGGCAGGCCAAATTATAACTCTCATTTAACCCTGACTAGTAGAAACTACTGGTATCTGCCAAAAAGGACCTGATAATAGGAAACCACCAAAGTGGATTAGGTCAGTTTGCAACAGAAGTCTTCCATCTGTTTCTAGAAAAATGAAAACTAATTCAATTCCTCTATGTTCTTCATAGCCATATTCTTCTTTCTCCTCTCAGGTCACTTACCAATTTTTTCATCTTCCTGTACCATTTTTCTCTCTTCTCTGAAAGCCCTAAGCCAGCGTATCTTCTCCTCCAGCTTCTTGGCAAAGAATAGATGTATCTCCTCAGTCTCCTTGTTGTGAAGCTTGAAAGCATTTTTCATGCTGACATTAAAGTCATCATCTCTGCCATCTTCAATGTCAACTACCTCATATTTATCCATGTCAATGCGGCCTTTGTAGTACAGGATGTCTCTTCGGATAAGGTCCTAGGTGGGAAGGAAGAAAAGGCTTTATACTGGAGGTATGTGGACAGTAGGTACCAGGAGAGATGGCACATGGGCACAGTAGGACGCTAAGACTTCCACTGATTTGAAGTACTAATAGGGGTTATTTTGGTCAAATTTAGGCAAGTTAGCTTAGCATTATGACATTGACAGGTTGGTTAGAAGATGCTCTTACAGAAAGCCTTTGTCCTACATCCAAAAACTCTCAGACTCCAGTATCAATCCTTATATGTGTTTGTAAGACTCTGATGGGAAGTAGGAAGCAGTAAGCCACACAAGCATTGCTAGCATAGGCCTTTTCTTTTCCAAAATATTTGCAAGCCTTCTAGAAGTATGAAATAAGCTGGATGGTTGCCTGAGGTATACTTAGGAATTCAAGCCAGCAAGTGAGACCTGCATATCAGAGTGGGTATGAGTGGTTAAGAATAGCAAGGTGGCCACAGCCTGTGCTGGCCAGGAAAGATTACATGGAGAGGGTTGAACACTTTGTACTCCAGGGAATTTTGGAGAAGGCCTAGTCTGGCAGGAGAAATGGGGGTAAGATTGAATAAAAAGCTTCATATATTGACAAATAAATTTCACAAATCTTATTGCGTGAGAAAAATAAAAGTTATAGATGGATACAAACAGTATATTATCTTTTATTGTTTTACTCTCTGGTATACAGAATTGGATTAATACTCTCAGTCCAGGAGACAATCATCATTAGTACATACAAGATACTCTTATTTCTCTAAGTATTTACTTTTAATAATATATTAAGTTTTGGTGAAACTGCCACCAAAAGCTATGATGCCACAGCAACCTTAAATCCCGCGTTCAATCATTCCCCTGGTTACTTTTGTATACAGTTTTATCTCATCTACATATATTACACTTATATAAGGTTTAAACAGCTACAAAGAAATGCCACATAATGTTTAGAGATACAGAAATTATATAAAAAATATGACAATGACACAGGCCAAATTCAAAAGAGTACAGAGAGGAGAATGGGAAAATGGAAGGAAGGAAAAGGGAGGGAGCAGAGAGGGAGAGGGGAAAGAATGTATTTGTAATGAATTATTTCTTAAGTTGTATAGTAAGTACATAGGTGCCCATTATATTATTTTGTATCTTTTTGAATGTGATATTTCATAAATTAAAAAAAAAAAGAAAACCAGAGAGATGGATGATATCACTCGTGGACCTGTGGCATGTAAAGTATAAGTACCTTTCTGCCCTCACCCTCTTAGCACTTCCCTCAGCTTCCCCTGAGAACACATCTACTGCTGGGATGTGTGGTGTGGCTGAGTCTGGCCAAGGAGGTCTCATGAGCCCTGTCCTGATGGATGTCTTCACTGGCCAACTTGTTCTCACAAACTATCCCTCCTGTCTGCCTATATTTGGCCTTTAGACAATTTGACAGAATCAGAAATGCTCATTAACTTTTATTAACATTATACAGTTTGGTTAAACTGCTCCCATTCTGCTGAATTGCCTTGCATGCCTCGCTTCTCAGCTGCAGCCTACCTGCAAAGAATTTGCTTTTGCAATCCTAACTCTTCACAATGTAGGGTAAACTGGGCTTTTTGGTATGTCTGGGGAAGGCTGTCTTTAAGAATTCCCAACATAGCTCTGTCAATCTTCGAAGACCCAGGCTGTGAAATATAGGTGTTGTTGAATTGCTTTGCAAAAAACAACCTCCACATTGTTCTTTTTCCTCCCATAATGATTGTGCATATAAATAAGCTGTGAGTATAGATGGGTTCTGATCTGTTGGGTTCCGCTGGCATCAAGTTCACAAGAGAGAAAAAGGTCAGCTATACAGAGTGGGCCAGTTTTGCTCCAAGCTTGCTTCAGAGTCTGGGTTTCTTTTACCATGCTCAAAGTGGACAAGTTCAGTCCTGAACAAAAGGATGGGGTGGTTGCCACGTGCAGACTTTCACAATCCTCAAGAACACTTTGTGAGACTGATGCATAAACAGTGGGCCCTGTCAGTCTAATCTAACTATAAAAGCAGGACAGGCTAAGGAGAATGGCTTGATGTGTCCTAGTTTGATCTCATAAAGGCCTGAAACATGCCTTACAATACACAGATACACATAGACCTGAGAAGCCAGGTCTGGACCACACAGCTAATAGGTGGGTGCTTACCTGACTAGAATATAGGAAGCTTTAACCTCCCTTCTATTCCCAATTTCACCTGTGAGACAAGGGAACTGAAGAACTCAATAAAATTGCTTTTAGCTCCCTTTCCTGCTTCTATTTTCACTAGGACCTGTATCCCCACCTCACTTTACACATGCCTTATAAGGCAAACAGCATATGCCCTCCTTGTAAGGGACAAGGAGTTAATGATTTCTCTAGAATAAGTAACATCTAAGAAATGACAAGGACAGAATGGACAGCTATTATATGCGTATTCCAGACAACTGTAGCTAGACATCTCAATGCCAAGGCCCCCTGTCTCCAAGGAATAATACTTGGGCCCTCATCTTTGTTCTAACTGGTACCTGAATGCCTTAGAGGACACATAAACCTCAATAACTGCCCCCAGACCCTGAACAAAGATGAGACTCCCCCCTTTCCTTTTGAGTCTCCCAGATACTCTGTATCTGCTCTATATTATATATATATATATATATATATATATATATATATA